GACGTGCACGCGGTCGGCCGCGACGCGTGCACGTCGTCGCGGACGCGCGAGCGATCGCGTCGGGGCGACGGGTGACGGAGGGACGGGGCGACGGAGGGAAGGATTTGAATTCGTACCTGTCGCTGTTTAAAGTCTTCGCGCGACGCGCGTTGGAGCGCGTCGTGGACGGGCAGGGGGTGAGCGGGGAGTTTGCGCTTCGCGCGTGCGACGCGTGGATCTCGCCGCACGCGTTCGAGCGCGTGTGGGGGGGTGGGGATGATTGTACGGGTGGCGGGAAAGACGGCGCGTTCGTACGGTGCTCGAGAGCGTCGTTCGAGGCGTCTTTGGAGGAATTGAGCGCGCGATGCGAGAGATACGTCGAACGAAATCCAACGGTGGGAGACGCGCACGATGGCGGGGTGCACGAGTGGATGGTGAACTTGACGCGGAACGCCGGGACGGCGGCGACGGATTTCGCCAAAGCGTCGACGGCGGGGACGTTCACGGGCGAGGACGAGGATGGGAACGCAGAAGAGGAGGATGGTGGGGTGATTTTCATCGTGTCATCTCTGCCGCGCGTCACCGAAGCGGAGGCGCGCGCGATGGACGCGAGCGCGGTGGCGAAGTCGTTTCGAGGCTTAGAGGAACAGTTGAAACGCGAACGCGTGCGGGCCCATTTGCTGTACGTCGGAGACGATCCGCGCGGGACATTCGCAAAGATTTTGCGAGACGTGTTCCAGCGGTTTCGGGGCGCGATATGTCCCTTGGACACGGCGTGTCACCTCGCGTCGTGGGCGCCGTTATACTCGATACTCGACGCGATGAGTCGCGCGAGCACCGACGCGTTGCAGGAAACGTCGTCATCGACGACAACCGCGTCGGTGGACGTCCTCGTCGAAACCAAGGGTTCACAGCAATTACGTTTGGGCGAGGCGTACGCGAGTGGAACGAGCGCAAATCGGGGTCTCCGATCAATGTCCGTGGTTGGTTTCGTCGACCGAGCGCTCGCGCCGTCGACACGCCTTGCCACGGAATCGCAAACTATCCTGTGCTTTGATGACTCACCGATTCGAGCGCTCATGGCGATGATGGTTTTGAAAGATGCCGCGGCGATCGTACGCATGGAGGCACGTGGTTCTGCTCGAGCGGCGGTGCTCGACCCGCTGACGTGTTCGTCGTTCATCGTCACTGATTTCGCAACTCGTCGAGACGGAGGGGAGAACGAGAGCGTAGTCGAACACGCCGAATCCACGAGCGTCTCTCGTGAAATCACACAGCTCATAACAACCCGGGAGAGATCGATGACGCTCGAGAACGCGCACACACTGCTGGCAAAGACTCGCGAAGATATTTGCGAACAGCTTGCATCGCCCAACACGACGCAACCGTCGACGACGCAAGATTCTCTCGCGTTGACGCAGTGCGTGCGAACTCCGTTGGACGTGTTGACGCAACACGCCTCACAGGCTGTTGCGAAAACTATGAGCGGCGTGGAGACGGTGCTGGACGCACTCGCGGCAGATCTCAAGCTCGGCGTCGCACAGAGTGCGTCTCGATTGGAATCTTGGTACGGGTTGCGCAACATGACGCCAAGTACGTGCAAAATGTTACATCGCGTGGCTTCCGAGAACGCAAGCACGTCCGTCTTCGATGACTCTATTAACGCTCTGGACGCCCGGTTTAAATCGATGCTCAAGGCACATCGAGGCATCGTGTCTCCTCCGAGGAAAACAAAGGCGAGACGTTCGTTGACGTCCGCGTTTGCGCTAGAGAAAGGCGTGAAAGTTTGGACGGGAGACATCGACGCGTCGGCGAGAGACGCCTACGCAGCGTTCGTGGCGTCGTTTATAGAACGAACCGGCAGCTTCGATCCAGATACGCGCGAGTTCGCGCACGATCTCGTGGCTCGATTCCGTCAGAGCCTTGATGAAGCGGGTGTCGACCCGGAGGCGATTGTTCAAATAATCGACAAGACGCTAGCGAAGAGTGCGAAAGAGCTGAATGTCACGTACACTGGCGCGTCGAAAGACGCCACGCGCATTTTTGCGAAGCGCTTGGAGTACACGTTACAGATGCACTTAGCTTTACAAGTGGCTTTGCTCAAGGTAGCGACGGCACGCGAAGTCGATGGAACCTCGAAAGCGTCTAGAGAGGAGATGGAGGAGAGCGCCATATCGAAGACGGAACAGAAAAAACTCGTCAAGCGTATGAGCAAACTCATGGATGCGATTCGATTCATACTCACGCCCTCCGGGGCCGAGGGTGTGCGCGCGCTCGTGGAGGCAGAGTTTGTGCCCAATTACGATGCGCTTCCCGAAGTGTTGCGTTTGCTGCAGCAGGAGCTCGGTGTCTCGACCGAGCCGATGCCTGAACTACGAGACGCGAACGCGGTCGCGCTCACGCCATTTTCTCCTGGACCGATCGCGAATATCAGGCGCTCACCGCGGAAGCTGAAACCTCCGCCACAGGAGCTCGTATACAGGGCGCCGTCGATGCCGCCGCCGAAACCGCCGACGTGGCACCATTTTGCCAGGAGCAACAGTCAGCGTCGCGAGGTTGCGGTGCCTGTGCGAGTGAAAAACGGGTTCATGAAACAACCGCAGACGGCACCGCGCTCGTCGGGAGGAGGAATCAGTCGTAACGTATCCGGAAAGCCTGTGGTGGTGCGATCGACGCCAAGGGTGGGCCAAGTCATCGGCGAAACGCCCGCGATGCGTGCGCGTCCAGGAATCGTTGCCGACACGCCGATCGGCGCGCTCGGGTCAGGACTTGCGAACGGGGTACCCACGCCCGCGCGAGCGCAGTTACACACGCCGAGACGCATCGCTTGGGGAACCCCAGCGCCGAAAAAATCGCGCTTCAACTAGAAATGTACCGGTACACTTCATATCATCACTGAAAATATTCGCGCTCGCGAAATTTCACAGCCCCGCACGCCATCGCCACCTCTCGTACCGCCCCCAAGTCTACCCCGGGGGCCTTGGAGCACGTCACCTCCACCTCTATCCCGTTTGAAGAGCAGCGCTCCACGAACTGCAACGCGTCGCCGAGCCCACGTCCGTCGGTTGGCGCCATGAGTCGCGTGTACTCCTCCGGATTCGCACTCGCCACGTACACGGAAACCTCCCGCAAACCCGCGTTAAACAATTCATCGCACGTTTCCAGGTCGTGTAAACCATTTGTGGAAACTCTCAGGCGCGCGCCGTGTCTGCGCTCGCGAATCTCCCGCACCGCCTCAAGGAGGACGTGTTTTCTCAATAAAGGCTCGCCTGCGCCCGCGAAGATCACCCCGGGGTCGCTCTCGCCGCTGCTACCGATGTTTAAAGAGTCGTAGAATCTGTCCACGGCGTTTACGAGCTCTTGCGCGTTCGGTTCATTCGCCTCAACTCCCAGCGGGACAAAGCCAGAGGCTTTCGGGACGGAGAAAGATGGACCGCGCAGGGTGATCAACGACGCGGCGTTGGATTTATCGGTCAGAGAGAGATACATGGCACCTCTGAGAAGGTACGCGACGCCCGGGCGGGCGAACGCGTTGGACATGGCGTCGTGATATGAAGTGTTGGTGCGGCGTCGGGCTTTACAGGGTGATTTCTATCAGTGTCCGTCGGGCTACTTGTAGAGGAAATTGGCACCGCCGTAGACCAGGGGCGCTCGGCTCCCGGCGAGCACGGCGTGCACGGTGACATTAGCGCGGTCATGCGCCGGAGAAACGCAGTCGATCTCGATGAGCTCGTTCGAGGCGGCGGCGACGTTTACGTCGACGGCGACGCCCACAGGACGCGCGCGGACGGAGATGGTACCGAATCGACAATCGATCATCTCGCTCGGTACGCCCACGGAGAGCGTCGCGCGAACAGGTGTGCCACCAGTCGTCCAGCCGCTGTGTGCGTCGGACGAAACTAGGTGAGATGGTACCATGGATGTGAGCATCACGCGATCACTGTCGACACCGTATGTGGCGCCGACGGCGAGCCCGGTCGACGAATCGCACTCCTCGAAGCACGGTTTCACCCATCGCTCAGACGAAGTCGACGTTTCCGAAATCGGGGACTCACATGTGATGAGCGCGCTGGAAACTATTACGCCGCCACTGAGTCCTTTGTTCGCGAAGACACACAAAGATCTGGCGGCGTCGAACGTTCCCTCTGGGTGCGTTGAGAGAAAGTCCGAACCGGTGATGGAAATCAAATCCACCGGCCCCCACGTCTGTCGTGGATGCACCGTGTACACCGCGTGATCCTCCTTCACCAAGATGGACGGCGATGGATCTAGTGAGGCCGCCGCAAAATTTCGACTGATTCTCACCACGACGAAACCGGGAGCCAGGAGTGGCAGTGGACAATTCAAGGACGGCGCGTTCGCCGTCCCTGTCGTCGTCCGATTACGTCCGAACGTGCATATCAGAGTGCCTACCGATAAACTACCTAAAACCTGATAATCACTCACGGCGATTCGAGCCGAGAGCGCCGAGACGTACGTCGTCGCCGGAGTCAACGAGAGAGGTGGTGAGATGTAAGGGGACGTCGCATCCGACGTCACCGGAATAGACAACCCGTACTGCACTAAGTCCTGTGACTCCGTCGCACCGAACCCAATCGATAGCGCGCTCTGATCGGGTCGCAGCGCCGGCGACACGCACTCGGCGGTCGTTCCGCTCATGTATCTCGCGTGAACTGGACCTATAGAGCCAAAATGACATCCAGAGTACGCCCTGCTCGCGCCTTCGTCCGGGAACGATTCACCCTCGATCAGGAGCCCCACCCCGCCCTGATACGTGATCGCCAGCGCGTATAAGGTAGTCACCGCCGGAACCGCCACCGGCGCGACGTATACTGAGCGGTTGACGGAATCAATGTCAGTGAAGCAACTAATTTTCACCTGCTCCACCGTGGTCCATGTTGCCATGTCAGTGCATCGCGCGAGCGCGCTCGAAATGAAGTGGAATTTCGAACTAGTTCCGTCTGGATACGCGCACGAGCAACCGTCCTCCTCCGTAAAATCCATGCCCGATCCCTCGACGAAAAAACTACCTCCAACAACGACGTCCACGGGCGTCGCTCCCGTCACGACGTCGAGCGTTGGATTCTTCAGTCTCAAAGTCACGTCGTCGTCCACTGCATCGTCCGCGACGACGGTCGTGATGTTTATCGTCATTTCCGTCTCAATCGTGTATCGACCGTTTCCGATGCCTAGTCTAAAAGTCACGCTGCTGTCGTCCACGTGCGCCGGCGAGAGACATCTCGCAGTGTTCCTCGCCACGACGCGAGCGTCTATGGGACCTATTGTCCCAAAATAACAGCTCAAAAACGAGCCGTCGTCGTCCGCACCCACGGTCGCGAACCCACTCCCCGTGACGATCACGGGCGTCCCCCCAGTGGTGTTCGTCTCTCGCGTCACGTTTGTGAGCGAAAACGAATCCGTCTCTAAAACGAATCCCACGGCTCCTCTCGATCGAGGGGGAATCGACGACGTTTGATTCGCTGACGTCGACGCTTGCACGTTCGCGTCGTAATCACTCTGCGTCCGCGTAAACGTGGGTATGACGTACGATGAAATCTCCCCAGACGTCACCTCCGGGCTCTCGCACCGAATCAACGCACTCGAAACGATATCGACCGCCACGTGCGTCGTCGGTTTTGTCCATCGAACCGTCCGCGTCTCGTGCATGTGCGATCCGGTGAGATACATCACCTCCCCTCCATGCACAGGCGCATCCGTCGGGTACGCCCCGTTCACCGTCATCTGCTTTGCAAAATTAAACGTCCACGCCCGCTCCAACTCCAACGGCGACGTCGTCGCGTCTCTCCCGCTCCGCCGCAGCGTCACTCCGATCGACGCGAACCCTCCATCATCGTTCCCATATCTCGGCGTCAAGCACGTCATCCCACTCACACTCTGCGTCGTCGGCGTCACGCGCGCATCATCGAACGCGCACGCCACCGACGTCCCGCTCCCGTATCCGTCGCCGCTCAGCGTCACCAACGTCCCGCCCGTCGCGGGTCCAATCTCCGGTGACGCCGCGTCCACCGCCACGCTCACCCCGTACGGGAGCGCGCGCGCGCGCGCCCACGTCGGACCCACCGCGAGCGCCGCGAGCGCGCACAGGCGACGCCCCGTCGCCGTGGACGGCGCCGTCCCACGCCGCGGCTGCATTCGTTCGTTCCCGCGTCCCATCGCCGCACCGTCGCCGCGCGCGCGACCGCGCGCGCGCTCACGACGCGACATCGCGCGCGTCGCCCATCACGCGCACCGTGCGCGTCCGCGCGCGCGTTCGAGGAGTGCGGCGTCGCGTCGCGAGCGTCGGGGTCGACCGATGATGCGCGATACATATAATACTCCATCGAGCGCGATGTATGGACCGTCGACGTGATCCCGCGGGGCGTTGACGACCCCATCGCGCGTCGCGCGCGCGTCTCGCGCGATGGCGCCCTTCCTCGGCGGCATGCGGGGGTTAACCGTGTTCGTCCAGGACGTTCGGAACTGCGCGAACAAGGTGCGCGGGGAAGACACGCGCGCGCGTGGCTGGATGGACGAGATGGACGATCGGCGGCACGGGATGGACGACGCGTCTCGCGCGCGCACGAGCGCGCGCGACGCGACGCGCGAGGGTGCGCGAGGTCGAGCGTATTCGTGACTGACGATAACCGTCGACGCAGGAGCAAGAGCGGTTGCGGGTGGAGAAGGAACTCGCGAACATTCGGCGCAAGTTCAACAAGACGCACCGCGCGCTGACGCCGTACGAGCGCAAGAAGTACGTGTTGAAGCTGCTGTACGTGTACATGTTGGGGTATAACGTTGATTTTGGGCACACGGAAGCGTTGAAGTTGATCTCGGCGTCGACGTACGGGGAGAAACAGGTCGGGTACATGACGACTTCGGTCATTCTGAATGAACGGAACGAGTTCTTGCGCATGGCCATCAACAGCGTGCGCAGGGATGTGATCTCGACGAACGAGACGAATCAGTGCTTGGGGTTGTCGTGCATCGCGAACGTCGGGGGGAGGGAATTCGCGGACTCGCTCGCGGGAGATGTGGAGACGATTCTGATGACGCCAACGATTCGACCCGTGGTGCGGAAAAAGGCGGCGCTGTGTCTGTTGCGATTGTTTAGAAAGAACAATGAGATCTTGATCCCGGAAACGTTCGCGCCGAAAATGGTAGATCTCTTGGACGCGGAGAGAGATCTCGGCGTGCTCATTGGCGTGCTCGGTTTACTCTCGGGCATCGTGTCGTACGACTACAAGGGCTACGAGGCGTGCGTACCCAAGGTGATCACAATCATGGAGCGACTGACGAGGAACACCGACATTCCGCCCGAGTATTTGTACTACGGTATTCCCTCTCCCTGGCTCCAGGTGAAGTGCATGCGAATTTTGCAGTACTTTCCGACGCCGGAGGATCCCGCGCTGCTCGACGCGCAGCTCACCGCCGTGCGAAACATTTTGAAGACGCAATCGGTGAAGAATCTGAACAAGAATAACGCGTTGCACGCGATTTTGTTCGAGGCGATCAATTTAGTCACTAGCATCGACTACGCGCACGAGCTCTTAGATCCGTGCGTGGAGCTTCTGGGGAAACTGCTCGGGATGGGACCAAACATTCGTTACTTGGCGCTGAGCACGCTCAACACGCTCGCGGCGATGCCCGATCTGCGAGAGGCGATCAAGGTGTATCAGAGCGAGGTCGTATCCGCACTGCATGACGCGGACATCTCGATTCGCAAGCGCGCGCTGACTTTGCTCTTCTCCATGTGCGACGCCTCAAACGTGCACGATATCGTCGAGGAGTTGGTCAAGTATCTCGTCACCGCCGATTTCGACATTCGGGAGGAGCTCGCGCTAAAGACGGCAATCCTGGCCGAGCGCTACAGCATAAACGATCGCATGTGGTTCATCGAGATCGCGCTGCAAATGATCGATAAGGCGGGAGACTTCATCAACGACGACCTCTGGCATCGTCTGGTCCAAGTGGCGACTAACAACCCCACGCTTCACGCCGATACCGCTAAGCTGATGTTCGTGAAACTGCGTGATGACGGTGCGACAAACGAGCTCGTTCTTCGCGTAGTGTCCTACTGCATCGGTGAGTTCGGATACTTGCTCCCGATTCCCGCGTCGCAGTACGTCGACTTGATGATTCCTCTGTTTCATAGCACCGACGAGGGAACGCAAGCCATCATGCTCACGGCGTTCATCAAGATCGCCATGCACAAGAACTGCGATCAAGGATCAATGGGTAAGATCGTCCAAGTGTTCACGGACATGAGCACGTCGATGGTTTCGGAAATTCAGCAACGCGCATGCGAATATTTACGCCTGTTGCAAATCGGTCCGTCCATGCGATCGATCCTCGAGCCGATGCCCGAGTACCCCGATCAGTCGAGCGTGTTGGAGCGACATGTACAAGTCGACAATGTCGCATCCGACGTCGCTGCGGGCGTTCGAAAGCTCGGTATATCACAGTCCGTGAGAGAACAACCAAAATCATTAGCGTCTAGCTCGATGCGCGTCGGGACGGATCTCGTCGTCGCCTCTCCGGCTCAGCCGAGAGACGCCGTCGCGGATCTGCTCGGTGATTTGATTGGTGAAACGTTGGCTTCGGCGCCGCCTCCGGCGCTTCCAGCCGCAACGTCGAGTGGAGTGGACTTGGACGAGCTCTTCGGCGCCGGGACACGCGCGCTTCCTGCAGCGGAGCAAAGGCCGGCGCTCGCGGCGCCGGAGGTTTCACTGGCACTGGCCGCCCCAGCGCCCGTGGCCGGTGCGGCGACTTCATCGAACACGTTGGATGATTTACTAGGCCTCGATGCATCCGCGGCGCCGGCGGTGACACGGGCGTCGGCTGCTGCGCACGGAGGAGCAGATCTCTTGGACGAGCTGGGCGGTTTCACGGAGAATCGAATTGCACTAGTGCCTGCAGCGGTCGCACCCGCAGCTGCGCCGGTCAGTAACGGCGTGAAACCAACGGTGAACATTCAAGAGTGCGCGAAGCGATTCCTTGTCGCCGACAACGGTCTCTTGTACGAAGACGCAAACGTCCAGATAGGCATCAAGTCTCAGTGGCAAGGCTCTCAGGGTCGCGTCATGTTCTACATCGGGAACAAGATGGAGAACGCTGACTTGCAGAAAGTCTCGATGACTATACATCAGATTGACGGCTTGCGACACGCCTTACAACCGGTACCTTCGACCATTGGCGCTAAACGCCAGGTGCAGTTGATGCTGCAAGTCGCCATTGTCAGTTCCTTTGCTGGCGCACCGCGTCTTGATTTCTCGTACACCTGCGCGGGGGCCGGAACAGTGTCGGTAGCGTTGGACGTACCCGTGCGCATGAACAAGTTCTTGAGTCCAATGACGATCGCGTCTCCTCAAGAGTTCATCGCGAGATGGCACCAAATGGTTTCGGCGGGTCAGCAGCAAAAAATTATGGATCTCGCGCCGCAGTACGCGACGGGCATCGAGAGCGTCGTCAACGCGTTCACGGGGATGCACCTGGCCGTGCACAAAGGATTGGACCCGAACCCCGCCAACTTAGTGTCGGGGAGTAGATTTGTGGGTGAGAAGAGTGGCGAAGTGCTCATCGGCGTGCGTGTCGAGAGCGACGCCAACGTTCGCGGGCGTTACCGATTCACGGTGGCATCCATGGACAAAGATGCGTCTCGCGCGGTAATGGAAACGATCGTCGCGGCATTAGGTGCGAACACCTAACTTTGGGGAAATGTGCAATGCTAAATGTGCTAAAACAATCCTGGTGCTACCGGCTCTCCTCAATCCTCGCGCGCTTCCCGGCGCTCGCGCACCGGCCTCGGCGGCTCGCGCTCTCGCACGCCCCGCGTCTCCACTCTCGTCGCCGCGCGCTGACCGAACAGTGCGCAAATGATCGCCGGCGTCACTAGCGGCTCCCTACCCGTGAGCTCTGGATACACATCCTTTAAGAAGTAATACACGTGCCCCACAATCATCCCCAACGCATCCGTGATCGGTTGCGAGCCGATGATCGTGGAAAAAATCAACAACACCCACGGAAGATACGGCGCAGAGAACGTAAAAAGCCCCAAAAAGCTCATCTGCGTCGCCGCGTTCCGCCTTCCCCACACGTACACCATCATAAACGTCAGGCTCGTTCCGAGAAACTGCACGTTCACAAACGGCGCGAGCGCCGTGAGCAACGCGCCGCCGAACACGAGCATGTAAAAAAAATCGTGCGACCGCCCCTGGAAACTCCCCTCCTCCAGCATTCGGCAGTATCTCGACAGAAAGAACATGTGAAACACAAAATCAACCCCGAGCGAGCCGAAGAAGAAAAAGTTTGTCACCAACCGCCACAGCTCGTACTCGCGGAAAATCAGCGTGCTGTTAAAGTACACATTCAGCGGCGATATCACCTGCGTCGACGTCCGCGCCGTCGTCGTCGTCAATCACCGCGCCCGCACCCCCCCCCGCGGTCCACTCTGCGCGCCCGTCGTCGCGTCGCGCGCGCATCCGTCGTCTCTCGGTCGCGTCATCGTCTTCGCGTCATCTCCCTCGCACCTCCAACGCGCATCCGAGGGTGACCAACGTCGTGAGCGTGAGGTACATGCGCGTCACCGCGGGCGCGCTCGCGTACCACGCCTCGAGGGCGTTCGGCATCGCGCGCGGCGCGTCGAACGATGCGGTGGGCGCGATGGGTGGCCGTCGACGAAGGGTCCGCGTGAGACCGTCGCGCATCTCGCCGTCCATGGGCGGCGGCCGGGATAAGCGACGGAAGCAACAGAAGAAATTGGGCAAGGTGAGCGAGAGCAAAACGACCGGGGCGCGGAAGACGGAGCGGAAGAGCGAACGGAACGCGGAGAAGAATCACAGACGATTGGAGCGAGGGTTGATTGAGGATGATATCGATGCGATTTTGAACGCGATGACGATCGAGGACGCGCGTCGGGCGGAGGTGGAGGTGGAGAGGGATGTCGTGAAGCCGTGCGCGCGAGGGCACGCGAGTTTGACGTCGACGACGACGCAGAGACCGAATGAGATGATTTTGTACGGCGGCGAGCGCGTCGCGCCGGGGAGCGAAAAGTGCGAGGTGTTCGGTGATTTACATCGATACGACGTGGGAAAGGATCGGTGGACGCGAGTGACGAACGCGAAGATGCCGCATCCGAGGAGTGGGCATCAGGCGCTGTGTCACGGGAATTATCTGTACGTGTTCATGGGGGAGTTTACGTCGCCGAATCAGGAGCGTTTTTTACATCATCGAGACGCGTGGCGGTTCGATTTGGAGACGAATATCTGGGAGCAGTTGCCCACAAAGGGCGGTCCGAGCGCGCGGAGCGGGCATCGCATCGCGACGTGGGGGAAGAAGGCGATCATGTTCGGTGGGTTTTACGATAACGGTCGAGACGTCAAATATTACAACGACGTGTGGGAGTTTGATTTGGAAAAATGTGAATGGAAGTGTCGGTGCGTGGGGGGCGAGGGCGCGCTCGGCCCGAGTCCGCGAAGCGCGTGTCACGTTGGCGTACACGGCGACGAATTCGTGCTCTACGGTGGATACTGTAAGAACGTGGACGACGATGAAAATGATGACGAACGCAGCGAGCGCGGGACGACGTTCTCCGACGCGTGGTCCCTAAACCTGAAGACTTGGAAGTGGGAAAAACTCAAGCGACAAGGTTTAGCGCCAAGTGCTCGCGCGGGGTCGTCGAGCGCGATGCACGCGCTGAAGAAACGGCTCGTTCTCTTCGGCGGAGTCGTCGACCACGAAGTGAAGAACGGCGACGTCATCGTGTCCGAATTTTTCACAGACACGTACAATCTCAACATGGAGGCGAAGAAGTGGTTCCCCGTGACTCTCTACGGCGACGATAAGACGAAAACGCACAAGGCTGGGAGCTTAGAAGAGGCCGAGCGCGTCGCTGCGGGCGAGGTCGTGAACGAAAACTTCAACATTAGGAGCGAGCAAGTGCGCGCGGCGGTGAAGATTCAGGCCCACTTCAGAGGGTACCAGGTGCGCAAGGCATACAAACTGTATAAAGTCGGTGGCGTCGTGAGCGAGTTACTCTACTCCCCGGGCAGTGGAGAGGCGGCGCCGAAGACGTTACCGCGCCCGCGTGGACGCATCAACGCCGCCATATCGATCAAGGCAAATAGCATGTACTTGTTTGGCGGCGTCATTGAGCTCGGAGACGTTGAGGTCTCACTCGATGACATTTGGAAGTTAGATTTAGGCGCGCGTCCGAAATGGACGTGCATTAGCCCTCTCAGCGAAGAGTGCCAAAACGCTCTCACGGGCGGTGGCGCGGAATCGGAATCCGACGATGACGAGGACGGTTCCGAATCCGATTAGACTTGTGAAATAATCGTGTTACAAATGATACCAAATCATGATAAATCGAATCCGCTTCCCGACTGCACGGCGTACAACAACTTTTCTTTAAGCATCGCTTTTGAGCTATAGGGCGGTAGCTTGAGCAGGTTCATGCATGTCGCCGCAGTCGGAAGACGTGTTAAATCGGCGGTCGCGTCAGGCGCGTCCGTACCAGAAGTTCCGCTTCTGTGTATCGTCAGCTTCGGCTCGAGGTGTGAAAATCCGAGGAGCGGTGTGTTACTGCACGCGGTGATAAACTTCAAGACTTCGCGCTGTTCATCTGGAGTAAGCTCGCGCATGACGTTCCACAACACTCGAATCGTCGGATGCGAGGCGTCGTAGCCGCCCGAGTACTCGCAATGCGCCGCCATGTCGGCGATGTCCATCGATCCTGTGCGATTACCCGAAATGAGCAATCGAAGCTCTGCGGGGGTGAACATGTTCAACCAACGTTTCCGCATCATTATCTCGAATCCCGCCTTCATGCTAGCCAGTTGCCTGTACATTTGCGCGCGAAGTAAAAAGATGGACATGCAATTCAGGTAACGGGGCGCATTCGCATTGGTCACGAGAACATTGGAACCGTTTGGAATGAGCTCGATCTCGGTCTCCTCCATCCCGCTTCGATCCATCGCGGTGAAGTAGAGACATAAATCTTCCACGTTCCCCGGATAGCGCTTGAGAGATACCAGATTTCGATAGAGCTCGGGATCGAGCGTGACCAAATCGTTGAACTCGACGCGGCGACCCTTGAGCGCGGCGAGGAGGAATCCCGCGAGCGGGACGTCGAGCAAGATTCCCTCGTAACACGCCTTGCCCAGGATGGCGCCAAGAAAGAAAAAGTACTGCAAGTGCCTCTCGCCGGCGTGCATCTCGGATGCGGGGTTTGGATAAAGCGTTCGCTCTGGCGTCTCAATGAAGAGACCGAACTTTGGATTGAAGGCCTCGGCGATCAAATCGTTGAGAAAGTCCTTGAACAGTCCACCCCCGTCGACGCCGGCCTCTTCGAGCCCTTGTTCGTTGATGAATTGCACGCGAATAATTCCACTCAAAGTTTCCGTGAGCTTACTCGAAAGCGCGTTGACTCCGTCTTCGAGTAAATGACCTCGACGAACGCTTATGCCCGCATATCCGGCGCCGACGATTTGCCGACTTCGCCGCCGCTCGTCCATAAATTTGTGCACGCGCACTTCGAACGAAACCAAACACGGTGCACCAGACAAGAGCGTGGACGCGCGCGACTTCGGATCTCGAGCTTCCTGGAGCAGAGCGGGAATATCTACGTGCGTTTCGCTCACCTGAAACACGAGCGGATTCACGAATTGATGACGTCCGTTCCGGTCATGCAATAGTGCGAGCGCGGCGGAGCACTCGTACCATGTTTCGGCATCGATGCACTCGTCCGAGAACGTGATCGCGTCGAGCGGCGTGCCGTCTGGTCCTCGCTCGATCCACAACAACTGCCAGAGTGCGTCTCTAAGCATGGCGATAAACGTCTTCGTCGCCTCTAAATTAAGAGGTTTTCCCAACCGATAAAACTCCTCGTCGTCGCTAATCATAGTGTACATGTTGTAAAACTTGGCGAAAACACCGAGTAAACGACGATGTGCGCGACTTCGAGCCTCCTTGTCATGCACGAGCGCGGGCCAAAGCGCGCCAAAGCAATCCGTGCCAAACGTGAGCGCACGAAGAAACGTTTGTCGCTCGATCCCTCGCAACGTGAAATCGCACGCGAACACAAAGGATGAAAACGCCTCCGAACTATTCGTGCACTCGCGTTCGTCCCCGGCAGGGAGTAAAGCGCCCATCAAACGTGCGATGGACGACGCATCACCAAAAAAGTCGTGGACGTCCTCGAACGTGGACGTCCGACGAACCGCGTCGACGTCCGCATCCGCGGGAATCGCTCGCGCTTTCCTCCTCTCCGCTCTCACCGAGCGCAAGTTGAGTGCGTCCGCTTTCTTGGTGCGCGCGTCATACTCGTCGTCGTCGTCATCATCATCTTCTTCATCTTCATCCGCATCGACATCGATTTTTTCGCCCTCCATCGTGAATAGCGCGCCGCTCGACGACGGCGACGCCACGAGCGCGGTCACCGTTTCTACGAGCGCCCGCGCGGCGCGAACATCCATCGGGCTCTGCGCATCGCTCACGAACGTCTTCACCGGTCGTAACACATTTCCAAGTGCGACGTCGACGTCTCGCAAGAGACCGTCGCCCGTTGTCGGCGCCGTCTCCGCGGCCAATCGAGACACGACGAATGCCCAAAGTTCGCGACATTCGCGAACGCCGCCGAGCGCGTCCCACACCCGCGGAATCGTCGCGAGCGCCCACGCGAGAGCGCCTCCGTTCTCACATCGAGCAATATTTTCGCACGTCATCCGTAACGCTTCCCGCGTCTCGACGCTCAGCGTCGACATCCGTAACGCGTCGCGAATCACCTCCAACTCGCGCCCGTCGCACAACGCGAGCCCGCACAACTCAATTCCCGCGCGTCCCCACCTCTCGTCATCGCGACGCATCATCGCCATTAACCCCATCGCGAGCGCCCGCGCGTGTCGCCCGTCCGTCTCCTCGCTCGACGCCGCGCGCAGCGCGCGCAGCGTCACGCGCGCCAACTTTGCCGTCCGCGTCAATCCGCGCAGTCGCGCCTCCCGCCCCGCGCCGTCATCCATCCCACCGACCGCATCACCGCCCCGCCCCACGCTCGCCACGAACGTCTCTCTCAACCGTCCATTCGCGTCCGCGACGCACGCCGTCGCGCACGCCGCCACTCGACCGACGTCTCGTCTCTCGTCTCCGAAGAATCCCAACCACCGCGCGCGCCGCGTCGCCGCATCCACCCCCCCATCGTCGTCCCACGTCGCGCCGTCGTACGACGCGCGCGCCCTCTCCCGCGCCCGACGCACCGCCACCGTGGACCGTCTGCGCGCTTGACACGTCTCCACCGCGCGCGTCGTCGCGCGGTCGCGTTCTCGCCGCGCGCGCGCGTCGCGCGATGACTCGAGAATCTCCTCCCGCGTGCGTTCGCTCGCTCGCGAGCGTCCGCGCAGGGACACCGCGCGTCTTCGTCCGGTGACGCCGTCGAACATCGCGCGCCGTCGCGCCTCGCGCGCGCGCCGTCACCGGTCGGCGCGCGTGTGCGGACGCGAGGCGTTTTCGGTGGACCGCGTCTGGGCACGAAACTAAACCCTAAAACAAGGGGTTTTCGTCGAATCTAGGGTATAGGGTATAGGGTTGAGGCAGACGGCGTCCACATCGCGCGGTCGATCGCCGATCGCGGCGCCATCGACCGCCGCCTCGCGCGCGGCCGCGACGCGATGGCGCGCGACGGCGCGAGCGACGCGGGTAGACCGCGGTGCGTGCGCGCCGCGCGATCGATGACGCACGCGGGCGACGTGAGCGCGCGCGTGACGACGCGACCGCGAATGCGCGCACGGCGACGCCGTGGACACTGACGCGACGCGCCCGGGCGCTCGATGCCGACGCAGGGTGTCGAAACAGCGCGTGGAGCTGCGCGTCGAACGAACGCGGCGACGATTACGCGGGCGAACGACGCTGACGTGCGAGGTGGAGGGGGAGGAGTGCGCGGGGGGGATCGCGGTGCGACGGGGCGGCGGAGTGCGCATCGTCGCCGCGCGAGCGAACGGTGCGTCGACGTGAGCGACCGCGAGACGTGGCGAGACGAATTTTGGTGAATGAAAGACTGACGCGTGATGGATGGGAATGGTGTAGGGGTGGCGTGTGAGACGACGTCGATCGACGCGACGAAGGATGGGTTCGCGGAAACGGCGAGCGTGGACGACGCGGCGAGTCTGGGTAAAGACGCGCGGGCGAGGCTCGATAGGGAGTGCGGGACGAGTGAGGAGGTGATTATTCGCGCGATCGGGGATGGGAAGATCGAGGCGCGGCCGAAAGACTCGGAGGGGGGTAGCGGCGAAGAAAACGGGGCGGAGTCGGGGACGCGGGGAAAAGAAATCGTGCTCGAGATCGAGTACGAGGCTGAGAGCGGTTTCTTCGCGGATGACTCGTACTTCCTGTGCCCCGGGCCATCGCGCAGCTCGTCGAGCTGGTTTCCGTGCATCGAGCGCGGCGATGCGCTGACGACTTTCGATTTTGCGGTGAACGCGCCTAGAGATTGGCAAGTCGTCGCGTCGGCGCACTGGGACAGGGTCGAAAAGTGTCGAGACAGCGACGAGGGTGAGGACGAGGACGGGTTTCGACTGATTCATCACTTCTCCGGCATGTACCCGACGTTCGCGCACGAGATGCGTTTGATTTGTGGTAAGTTGAGCGCGGTGTCAACTCCGATAAAGGGCGTGACGCTGTTCGCGCCGGCGGGCCAAGGATTGGAGGAAAGAATGCAGACCGCGGCCGTGGGCATCGGGAAGGCCATCGTAGCGTACGAGGAGTACCTTGGACACCCGTACCCAGTGTCGTGCCTGAATGTCGTATTTTTGCCGGACGCGCTCGTGAGAGAACGCGACGCCCTGGGGGCGTGCGTCAACGTGCACTCCGCGAGATGGCTCGTCGATCCAGCGCTGAATTCGGCGCTTCTGGACGCGCGCGTGCACTTGGCGACCGCAATCGCTCGGCAGTGGTTCGGAGGTATCGTCGTTCCCGCGGACACGACTGATTGTTGGGTCGTCGAAGGCTTAGCGCAGTACCTGGCGGGCATGTACGTCAAGAATTTGACCGGATTGAACGAGTTGTCCTTCACGCGCATGAAGGATATGCGTCTCGCGGCCGCGATGGACGACGGGGCGTCGCTACCACCGCTCGCCAGTCGAGCTGCGCGCATATGGCGTGGTGGACACTATGCCGGTCCAGATCCTTTCGCCGGCGGCGCGCCGAAGCCGCTTTCGAAGAGCGTCGAGCGGGCGTTGCAAGCCAAGGCGGTGGCGGTGATTTACATGCTCGAGAAGCGCCTGGGTCCGGACGTTATGCAGAAAGTGTTGAAATATTTCGCCGGTTTACACGTTCGTCGTAATAAGAAGGAACAAGCTACGCGCACGGGTCCTTCGAACGAGGTGCTTGCGGGCAACGCGCGCTGGATTCACACGCTGCAACTCTTCGATCATTGTCGAGCCACGGTAAACTTGGGCAAAGGTGAGGTGAACTCCTTCTTAGAGCGGTGGGTGTACGGTGCGGGCACGCCCAAGCTCAGCGTCGGATACGTCGTCAAGCGGAAGAAGAACGTCATGGAGTTCGCGGTTAAGCTCGAAGGGAGCGCGGCGGCGGCGGCGGCAGACAGAGCTGCGCTTGCCGTCGCGAGAAACCATCGATCCTCCGTCACGGTTCGCATGCGCGAAGAGAACAGAGCGGACGCGAACGACCACGTAGTCTCACTCGGCCAATCGTCGTGGCAATTGATGGAGATTCCTTTGCAGCCGCGACCGAAGGACCGACGACCAAAGACGATTATCGAGTCCGGGGGCGATCCGGAGCTTATCGCTGCGATGGATTGTCCAGTGCGATACGTGAGGGTCGATCCGGAGTTTGAGTGGATGGGTAACATAGAGCAAAGTGCCAGGCAAGTAGGTTTGGAGTCGATGATGGCACAGATGCTCGAGAAGGAAAAGGATATCGTCGCGCAGATTGTGGCGGTGGAATTCCTTGGTCGTCGCGTCGCTAATGGCTCGGTGAGCGCAGTGCTCGTGCTGGACAAGTGTTTGAACTCTGAGGACACGTTTTGCCGCGTTCGCGCCGAGGCCGCGATGGCGCTCGGGAAAAGTGCGAGTGAGAAGACACAGTGGGGAAGCTTGCACGCGCTTCTTCGTCACTACAAGAAGTATCAATGCAACGAGCGGACGGGCAAGCCGAAACAAAACGACTTCCGGGATCTCGCCAAGGTCATCGTCGACAAGGCCGTAATCACGGCTCTCGCACACGTGTACGACGAAGAGGCAAAGTGCACACATGCGGATGCGATCGATGCCATCGTCAATCGATTGAAGTACAACAATAACGAGGGGAATCCGCAGAGTGATGACGGTTTCGTGGCGACATGTCTCTCCGCGTTAGCGCGCTGCGTCCCTGCAACGCTGGGCGAGTTGCGTGCGATAACGGCACAAATCCACTACTACATTCGTCGCGATTCCAGGTTTCCTAGCGTGGACTTGTGCGTCACGTGCGCGGGAATTCGCGCTCTGGGTTTGCTGTCTAACGCGGTTGAGTCCGAGGAGTTGTGCGCCGCGGCGGAGCGCGCCGCCGAGCTCGGTTTCAGTCTGGGCAACCAGTCCACTCTCCTTGCCGCCACAGATGCGACGATGTACGTGCGATTCGCTCGGACAAAGAACGAGTTGGAATCGCTTAAGTTTGTTCTCGAGCGTTCGGCGTCGGAGTCGGCGGCGACGCAGAGCGCCATGCTCTGGAGCGCGTGCGACTATTTGTCGACGTTCGCTGGCACGGATTCTCTCAAGGGGGCGTCGAAAGATATCTTGGTTCCGCTTCGAGATAAACTCGCGAGTGGAGATAGTGAAATCGCGAGCGCGGCGTACTCCATTGTCTACGTCCTCGCTTCCCATGACACGGCCATGAGCGAGATTCGCGAAGCGGTGGAGGAGGCGATGAAACGCGCCGGCGACCAAATCCCAGTCGGCGTAGACGTGCATGTGCACCCCGATCATGCCCCAGTCGACGGCGCGCGTCGAGCAGAGAAGGAGGCAAAACGCGCGAGAAAACGCGAGCGCGAGCGCATGAAGCAAGCGGCGCGCGAGGCGAACGAGGCTGCCGCCGCCGAGCAGAGACGCATCGACGCCGAGGCGGCTTTCGTCGAGCAACAAGCCGAACACGTGAGCGACGACAAGACCACCGGGACGGCAACGATCATCGCCTCGGAGGGCGCCCAGAACGGTCCGGATGGAACGCCGACGGGCGGTCTGAAGCGTGCGAGAGAGAACAACCCGAGCGTGAAATCCTTCGTCGAGACAGACGCGGGCGCCACCGCCGCGCTCGCAGACGCTCCACCGCCGCCGGCGAAAAAACTCAAACTCAGCTTTAAAATGAAAAAACCCGGTGCATAGATGACTAAACATAGCATTTGTTGTTGTTACAGGGTTAGACGGAACGCGACGCACTCGTCACTACTGTATCTTTAACGCCTCCTTCTCACGACTGGGCAAACGAGACCAGCACGCCGTCACGGGATCCGGCACAATCTTCAATCGAGACGGCCGCGTCGCGTACAACGCGATCCAACACATCATCGTCTCCGCGCTCACGAACAGACTCATCCCGCACAGCGTCCACGCCGCGTACATCGTCGCCGCGCTCACCGTCCTCGACCGCCACTCCGCCACGCTCGCCAGACGCTCAAACGTCGTCGCGCACCCCTCCATCGCCCGCGTCGCCTCCTTCGCCGTGATCTCAAAATATTCCCTCGAATCCTCGTCATCACCAGTCCCATTCGCTCGCGCCAACGCGCGTCTTTCTCGTTCTCGACCCATGACGAACCACGTCGTCGCGCAGAGCGCCGGGACGATCACCCGCGGCATCCGTATCATCACCACCATGATCACGCGAACCGCGATCGCGCGCATCGCACCGCCTCGGCCGTCGAAACCATCGACGACGCCGCGCGCGACGCTCGCGAACGGCGCCGCGGCGCGCGCAAAGGTGTCCAATCCGGATCGGGAGTGTTCGAGCGTGAAAATTTGTTGTTCACTCGGATGTACCGCGTCCACGGTCGCGATCGGACGCGCGACGATTGAGGACGTGGACATGACGTCGCGCGGTGTCGAACGCGCGACGTGGGCGCGCGCGCGTGATTAGAGCGACGAGGACTGACGCGAGCCGGGGGCGCGATTCGATGTGGGAAGATTGGTGTTGGCGCCCGACGCGTCGGCTGCGGTGTTACAATCGTCAAACTCAGCACGTGGTGAGCGGGGTGTTCCAGTGCGCGTCGTAATTCTTCTTGGCGAATTGGTACACCTCGAGGTCGTGTCGGACGAGCTCGCGTAAGCCGGCGACGATGGTGGCGTTTGCCTTGTACGCTTCGAGGCGCTTGGCGAGCGCGGGCGTGAGCTTTTCCTTACTCCCGTTTCGACCAGAGACGATCCATCCCACCTCGTTCCAGGTGTTCCCACCGTTATCGCCAAGGTGCTTCAAATCTGGAAGCCTGCCCCGGACGCGCGCCATCCCTCGCTCTAAATCATCCTGGAAAATGTAGCGCACGCACCCGGAGGCCAAGTTTGCCTTGGCGGCTTCGGCGCCGCACTTGGTGTGCCCGCCGCGCGGCGCGAGTAAACCGGTCAACTGTGCAGCGGCGCTTCGCTTTTGTGTGTACCATTCCAAGGGATCAAGCGGACACCCGAGTCCCGCCGCTTCGTTCGCAATCTCCTCCGCGGTCCAGTCTCGATGACCTTCGTTTCCTTCCAGGCACAAGTACGTGTACTCGCTCCACATTCTATCAATCGGCTCTCGAAGCACGGTGAGGTAGGCGCACGGGGCGTCGACCATGTCGCACATCCCCACCGCGGTGGCGCCCGTAAAGTACATCCGCCGACCCGCGTCGTAATCTTTGCGCATGAATTCCTGCGAGTAAATCCCAGCTCCGCTCTCGCGATGCTTCTTCATCGTCCACAACCACTTTGGGATCTCTCGAGCCCACAACGAGTTGAGCGGCTCCCAACCGTTGATCATAAAGTTCCGCGTCGCCGGCGGCCCGAGTTCGACGTTCTCATGATTCTTATTCCTCTTCAACATCTCGATGAAGTACGACCCGGCGGCTTTGGGAACGTGCACGAACATCCACGCGTACGCCGTCCCGTTCTTCGTGTTCCACAATTTGTGCGACCCTCTCCTCGGAATGATCGTCGGTGTCGACGTCGGCGTGCTCATACACTCATACAATTTCTCCTCGTACGGTACGTGCACCTGCGGTGCCGCCTTGGCGTCCCACAAATGCATCGACGTCATCAACGTCTGCGCGCACGTCCCCTCCGCCCCGCGCGGGTTCAACGCGCATTGTCCGGGGTGTTCATCGCCCAGCGTCGGTTTCCACCCCATGCGGTCCCGCATCCACGTCGTGTCATCCATCGTCGCCACCGCCAACGCCCCCGCGAGCGTCGCACCAAGGAGACCGACGCACAGAGCGACGACCTTTGTGTTTTTCCAGTTTAGTGTTGCCCCGCTCGAGCCCAACACTAAAGATTCTTCGTCTCGCGCCGGCGTGGTTCCGGCGCGTTCGGCGCGCTCGGCGCGCTCGCCGCGCTCGACGTCATCGCGGTGATCACCCGCGCGCAAGAGCGCGGAGGTTTCGCCGACGCGCATGAGGCTTCGCGAGGCGAGGACTGGGGCGACGCGGGGCTGCGGCGAGTTCGGTGTCGCCTCGCGCGTCGCGGATTCGGCGCTGTTCTTCGTTACACGCGACCGGTGAATTTGTGCGTGAGCTTGTGTTGCTCACGGAGGGCGGTGAATACGACGCGACGGGCGCCGCCGGCGCCGGCGCCGAGCGCGGTGTGGAGTTGTTGTAACTCGCGGTCGCCGCACGCGTCGAGAAGGGCGAAGAGGCCTGGCCGCAAGGCGGACTCGGCGACGGGGCCGACACCACCGCCCGTGATCGCGGTGATGGCGTCGGCGAGGAGATGTGTGCAATAACGATCCAGTCCGCTCGACTCGGCGGCCTCGTAGACGTAAGATAGCTTGCTCGCACACGCGTTCATGACATCGTCGCTCGCATCCCGAGATTTTAGTCTCCGCAGCGCGGCGAGCAAATCTGAGCATGCCACCGTGACGCTGGACACGGCTCGGCGCAAGTGGTCGTGGCGCGCCTTAAGTATCGCACCCATGAGTTCGCACGCCTGAGAAAATACGGTTGTAGATGAAGCTTCGTCGTCGACGACGGCTTCAGGGGAGCACGCAACGCCTGGAAGCTGACAAAGACGCGAGACACATCTCGTGCTCATTTCACACCTCGCACCGAGTCTTGAGAACTCTGTGACAATTCCGAGCACCTTCTCCACCACCGCACTAGCGTTCGGAACCGTCGTCGCGACGCTCAGCACGCGCGCGCACGCGTCCATCAGTGCCTCAACGTTTTCCTGCGCGGCTGACCGAATCGCCTTGCTGAAGTAGAACGTTTCGATGAGGTGCGACAGAACCCATATCGGTGCCGATAATGACACGTCCAAACGATCGGTAGACAAGTGATCCCGACGAGATTCCGCGTCTGCGGTCTTGAACGCATCCATGCACGCGGCGTACAGAGTGTTCAGCGGACGTTTGCCGGTGCCAATGAGAAGCTCTTGTAACGTCAAATCAAGCGCGTCGCAAAGCTGCTGCGATGGCATTGCGTTCGTCACGCCCTCTCGTTCCACTGCGACCCGCGTACCGTTCGTGTACGTGGTCATGAGAATCGCGACGAACGAGGCGTGCGCATCGGGAGTGAGCTGTGGTCCCGTTTGCTTGAGTGCGTCGCACGCGGCGCCGATGTAATTCACCAGCCGCGCAGCCGCGTGCGTGGACATTGCGTCCGCAGACTGCAACAGCAACTTCGTCGCGATCGACAACGCGAGCTGTGCGCACCCGGGATGTAACGTTCGATGGAACTTTTCGCCGAAATCGAGCAACGTTGCCGAAATACCTAACGCGTAACCAACGGCGGAGACGCACGTGGTGACGATTTCGATTGATGAGGCGTCTATCGCGATTTTACCGTTCTCCACGGCACGCAAGAAGGTCTCGACGTGCTCTCTCACTCGCGCTGTGGTGTCCCAGTAGCCTGAAAGCGCCTCGCCTCGCTCGTCGGTGATCTCCGTGTGCGCTTCGTCGTCGACAAAATCTGGATTCCCCTCTGTCCATCCGAACTTTTCGCGCAGCGGATCTGAGTGCACCATGGCTCCAGCGACGAAGGCAGACTCCGCGAGTAGTGCGGAAAGCTCCGCACCGGCGTCTACGCTCCCACTATCAACGATCGGTATGAGATGTGTCTCCAAAAGGCGCTCCACCAGCGACACCGCTCGACCGTACACGCTCGCCTTTGCCGACAATGCGCTTCCGACCAAACCAGAATTAAACTCAGCCGTCGTGCTCGCGAGGAATTTCGCGACGTCGGCGGCATCTGGAAGTGTGCGCGCAATCTGTACCGTCGCCTCTTGATAGTGAAGCGTCGAATTTGTGACGCTCACGCCGATCGATGCCGCGTCCTCGTCGTTTGAGGCTAAAAACGCAGCGAGCGAGCGCGAGCGCACGCAGAGATCCATCGCGCTCTTCATCCCACATGCGGCGGCGGTGAACGTCACGCAATCGCTCACTTGCAATGCGATGGAAAACGATCCCGCGTTCATGTGCACCACGGCTCGACTTTGGATGCGCTCGGCAGCTTCCAATGCCCGTCGCAGTCGCTTCACCGCACTTGTCTCCACAATGTTACTTTTTTCATCCACCCCTTTCTTCTGCAATGATGAGTTCGCAGCCCCCCAAAATCGTCCAAACGTGTCACGTGCGCCCGTGGGATCTCGAGCTGAGCGCACGCAATCCGTGACGACATCCTCTAAAACGTCGCACAGCGCGTTGGACGCAGTCGCTCCACTCAGCTCTTGTGCGATTTCCCCGGCACTGCGCAAGATGACGCTCTCGATCGCTCGCACCCACGGCTTAAACGTCACTATGAGCTCGCTGAATTTCTCTTCCTCTGCTTCCGACAGCGAGCCACCCTGTAAGTCTGTCTCCAATCTGCATCGATAATAGTCCATGATTTGCACGTCCGATGCAAACTCGTACCACAGTTGAATCGCCTCCGTCAGCACACCCCAAGCCTCAGCCTTCACATCCGGAGCGTCGTAACCCGCACCTCCGGTTGTGTCCGGGACCAAGCGAAAACAGACTGAAAGGAGATTCTTGATCTCTTTCCCGGCTTTCGCGGCTTCGTCCGGGGTGACATCCTCGCGTGGATATCGCAAACGCGACACGAGTTTCACGCGTTGAATCGCGCTTCCGATCGCCGCCGCCTCGGCTTTTTCGCATGGTGGCGCCGCGTTGGGCGCTTGACGCACGAGCTTCTTGACGATTTCACACAACTCGATAATGTCCGTTTTGAAATACGACTGCAGAGCCGCAGCATCGGCAACCTCACTCAAGCCTCGCAAGAGCGACGCCACGGGCACGTACGCACGAAGAAGCACGCCTGCGCGAGCTGGCGACGGATCGTCGCATAACCGCTTGGTGATTTCATCGGTAAACCCGTCGAGACATTCTTTTGCCGCGGGCATCATGGGCTCGCCTGGGTTGTCTGGACACGTCCCGAGGACATTTTGCACGATGCGCGCCAACTTGTCCAAAATATCATCCGTCGCGTTCGCGTCGTAGGCACCAATCAACACCTCTCGACACACAATCATGAGTTCAGGCGTCTGCGCGAGCGGAACAGCGGCCGCGGCTTGCTGTAATCCCTGCAAAACACCCTCAGAAATCACCGAGTCTCTCACGATTTTACCTTCCTCGTTCGCTTTCGCAAAAACCTGACCGAGCGAACGAATGAGATCTGGTACTCGCCGCATATCCGCGAACGTTTTTGTTAGCGTTTGCACGACCGCAACGCGCTCGCTGTAGTCGTCGTTCGATTTCACCAGAAGAAGCGTCAACATCGCCTCGGCGTGCGGCTCGATGAGCCGGGCGTCGAGAGCCGTTGATGCGCATATGACTCTAGACCATCCCTCGGCACGAACATCGTCCTGCATCGCGCTCGCCGCGACGCCATCGATGAACATCTTCACAGCGTTCTCGACCTTACCGTCGTCCATGGGTGAGTAAAGCTTTTTGTCCATGGCGACGCGAAGCGAACCTGAGAGCGCGTCTGTAAGCGCTTCGTTCGCCGTTGCGTCGCTTTCGCTTCGCCCCTTCCCTCGAAGCTTCGACGATGACATCGGCGCTAGAAACGCGTGCGATATGTTTTCGAATAACCCCACGAAGAGCGCTTTTGTGTCCTCCGGAGACGCCTTATTTATCGCGTTCGCGTCTACTTCGATCGCCGCACGCAAGAGCCACGGAGCTAATCTCAAAGCGTCCACATCCATGTCGTCCGCCGCGCGCGCGACGCGATCGACGACGTCACATATAAACGTCGGCGCCGACGACCGCGCCGACGTCGACGCGGGTCCCTCGGCGTCGCGCTCCCTGACCTTTTGTCTCTTCGAGTTCTCGCTCGATTCTGCCACCAGACTCGGAATCGCTCGCGCGTACATCGGGTGTAAGATGAACGCCCGCATCGCCCACTCGCACGCATGTTGCGTCTCAATATCATCACCGCGCTCCGCGCACGTCGACCACCTCTGTACGACCCCCCATAAGAACTCAAAATCTACGTTTACCGGCGCTGGCTTATTCGGCCGCGCGTTCTGCGCCCGCGCCGCGCTCCGCATCGACGCTCGAAACAACCGCGTTCGCGCCGCCCCGAGACCCATCGACGCCTTCGCCACGTCGACGCTCTTTTCGCACGACGACCGGAACACACCACCGTCGCTCGACATCGACTCGAACGCTCTGACTAGCGTCGCGTCGCTCGCGCGCCCGCTCGCCGCCGCGCGGCCCAACGCCCGCGCGATCGCGCTCTCGTCCGCGTTCGAGCGCTGCGAGGACATCGAACGGGCGTCCACAAACGCGTTCCACAGCTCTTCGTCGTCGCACAGCGCGTCCGCGCTCGGTGCGTCGCTTCCGAGCGCTTTCACGTGATTTCCGCCGCCGCTCGTTTTCGTCGCTCCCGCGCGCGTTAACGCGCCGTGCGTCCACGAAACGCACGCCTCGATCGAGCTATCAGGTAACGCTGGATTTCCGCCACGTTTCGCAGCGGTATTCGACGCGCGAAGACGCTCGCACACGGCGTTGAGGCGCTCGGCGTACGACGCGGGTGATTTCGCGTCGAAGAGCGTCGATCTCAAGGCGTCGCTCGCCATCGCGTCCATCGCGTGAACAACGACGGCGCACGTTTGGAAATAATAATACCCGTCGACGGTGCGCGTTTGCGCGAGCGCGACGCGTCGCGCTACGACGCGCGGGCGCGTTTCGTGAGCAAATTCGGTTGTAAAAGCGTCCCTGGTCCAGAAAACGTCAAAACGCGACGCGTCGCGTCGCGTCGCGTCGACGGTCGAAGCGATCGAACGCGTCGATAGGGTGCGCGTCGTCCATGTCGGACGTCGCGTCGCGAGCGTCGTGGCGAAGAGACGGACTGAGTTTTCGCGAGAAGTTTGTCGAGGCCGCGACGGTGAAGAATGTTAAAGTTCGTCAGTACGCGTCGCTGAGCGATTTCGCAAAGCAAACGCGCGCGCACACAGATTCAACAAAGGTTTCCGAGCGCGATGGTTCGTCGTCGGACGACGACGTGGTGCCCGGTACGGGATTCACGGCGTGGGACGGCGCGGCGCTTCTGGGCGCGTATTGCTCGCGACGCGACGTGTGGGTTCGATTGACGAAGAGAGCGGAGCGATCGGCGACGGATTCGAATCCGATCGTAACGATGGAGTTAGGCGCGGGAACGGGGTTGGCGACGCTCATGATCGCGAGCTCGAGCGATGCGGCTGGTGGGGAGAGGAACCGCGGAGCGGTGTGCGCGATGACGGATTTAGCCGAGGTGTGCGAGCTCACGAGGGCAAATGCGAGGGATAACAAGGCGGAGAACGGCGGAGCGGTGCCGTCTTGTGTGCTGTTAGCGGTGAAACCACTCAGATGGGGACGTGAAGAGGACGTGGAGGGGATGCCGGGGGCGATTCGATGGCCGGACGTCGTGCTCGGCGCCGACGTCATGTACGCCACGAACGACGATGTCATTCGCGCGTTGGCGTCAACCACGGCGATGTTGGTGAAACCGGGACGAGTAGCGGTGTTCGTGGCGTGCAAAGATCATCGTCCAGAGAGCGTCGACGTCTTCGTGCGCGCGGTCGAGGCTGAAGGGTTCGAGGTGACACGCGTGCCGGCTTCGACTGCGCACGTCGATTTTCCTTGCGGCGACGACGAATTTGAAATTTTGGAATGTTGGCGACGATGAGACGCGTCGTGCTCGGTGTAATTTTTAGAGTGCTAAGTGCTAGAATAATCGAATATACGTCGACGGCGGTGGTGGTTTTAGGGGCGCTGTTACAGCACCTCGAAGAACGAGGGCGACCGTGCCATTGTGCCGACATTCGTTGCGGCCTGGAGCGCCTTGTACACCAGGTAACCAGTCACGATCACGGCCGCGGGCATGATGATGACCGCCCATTGGTATAGCTCTTCCAGGAAGGACGAGTGGAACACGCGCGCACACGCAGCAGGCACGCGTGTCTTGGCCCAATTGGGATTGGCTCGAGCGGCTGTGGGATGCACCACACTCATCGCCGCGCCGAGCGTCCACTCGACCTCGGCGCCGTCGACGCGCTCGATGAAATCGATACGCTTATCGCTCTGCGTAAATCCTAAGCCGACCTCACCGGACTGCAAATCATCATCGAAATCAACACCGAGAAGCGCTTGCACAAGCGCCGCATCAAAGCACCGTCCGTTGAGTCTATCCGTTGGCGTGTTCGGATCCTTCCCATCGACATTTTTCACCAGAGATGTCCAATCGGTCGCACACAGCTTCTTACCGCCCGCAGCAATTTCTTCCAAGCTCGCCTTTGGCATGGACGGAAGCGATCCAGGAAGGGCGACGGTAAGAAAGTTGGTGAGATGGAACAGGAGCGACATGCCAAGAAATCGATCAATCTTGGCAAAGTCCTGCGGCATACGTAGGGTGACGCGCTGTTCGCGCTGCATCGCGGCGATTTGTTTGCGAAGACCTCGAACGCACGCGTCGTACGATCCTGTACCCGTGAGCGTCGCGCCGTCCACGTCGACTTCGTACCCCGGGAATGAACACGCGTTCTCCTTCTTGCCCGCCCGTGCGAGCTCTCGCCTCCAGCGCGTCTCCATGTGATTCGCCCCGTATCCGAGAAACGATTCCACCTTTACCGCGTCTCTCAAATCGATCATCGATCGCAGCGAAGAGCCGACGCCACCGTTCGGCAACGCAACGAATTGCACACTCCCGCCGCCGACGTCAATCGCACCGACGGTTTTCGACAATGGATTATCGGACTCCATCTCCGCGAGCGCCGGCGCACTCGGCGTCGAGGCGCCTCGTAGGCGCCCCACTACTGTGACGTCGACGTTGGATAAATAATTCGCCGCCAACCAGGCGTAGAATCCCTCCTCAGCACCGTCCACCGTTCGAAAGTGTCCGTGTCCATGCTGAAGCTTTGTCTCGCTCGTCACCGCCTCTCGTACCTCCCGCCAGAGCGCCTGCTGCTTCGCCGGGGTCAAAATTCTAAACCCTGCCGTCGCCCACACGTACACAGCCGCGTGCTCGCGCTCCCACGGATCCTTGATGTTCGCCGCCGCCGCGCGCAGCGCCGGGATCAACTCCTCTCGAACTTTCCCCCCCATCTCCGCCAGCGGCAATCGCGTCTTCGCCTTTGTACCCAGAGTCTTAATCTTAAACAGTTCCCTATCATTTTCACCGTTCTCGATCGCGAACGCGTGCGCGCGACATCCCGTGCTACCGGCGTCGACGAATATCACGTGCGCCGGAGCCTTTTCGCAAAACGCGCTCCTCGGACGATGCGTCACGGACGCCAAGACGAAACACACCAAGGCACACGCGAAGAGAAACGAACTCGGACGCCTCACAAACGTCGACGGACGATCACCGAGCGTCGACGAGAACGAGGACACGGATGACGTGCGTCTCGAGTGAAATCCCATCGACGACGCATTCGTCATCGTTTGCGCTCTATTCTCGTCACCGCTCGCGCTCGGCGACGCGTCGACACCGGACATGTCGAGAGCACTGCCGTTGTCGTGACGCGGGACTTCCGCGCGCGACGTCGCGCGGCGCATCCACGCGACGGGGTCTGACGAGGTTCACAATCAACTTTGAGCGCCATCCATTCGTCACTCCTCGGCGACGATGTCCACCGTCGACGTCCCGATTTTGAACCTCGAATCACCGTCGGGGGAACAAATTAAAATCATCGAGGCGGCGGCGGCGCAATTCGGCTTCTTCAGGGTGGACATCGCGTCGGTGTCGAACGTATTCGGGGTGGATGTCGAGCGAGCGGTCGCCGACGCCTTCCGAGTTTCGCGAACGTTCTTCGGTCGCGATGCGTCGCGTAAGGATGAATTGCGCGCGCGGCCGGGGTGTGGATACACCGCGTTCGGGTCGGAGACCTTGGACGCGCGCGGTTCGAGCACGGGGGACGCGAAGGAGGGATTTTACGTCGCGCGGACGGGCACGCCTTGGCCGGCGGACGACGACGAGTTTAGAGACGTGAGCGAGCGGTACTACGCGATGATGTTCCGTCTCGGACGAGTTTTGTTGGGTTTGTTTGCTTCGGTTTTAGGGTGTGATCGGGCGTTTTTCGACGAGCATTGGGACGGTGAACACTCGTGCGTGTTGCGGTATCTTCGCTACCCGCGCGGCGCGGCGTCCGACGAAAAATCCGGGGCGTTCGCGTGTGGCGCGCACTCGGACTACGGCGCTATCACGATTTTGGCCACGGATGAGACCCCTGGTTTACAGATTTACGATCGCGAGTCGAGACGGTGGAAGGGCGTCGCGCCGAGGACGGACACGTTCATCGTCAATGTGGGCGATTTACTCGAGCGGTGGAGCAACAAAAAGCTCGTCTCGACGCGGCATCGCGTGATGACGAGCGGTGAGCGAGAGAGATACTCGATCCCATTCTTTTTCGAGCCTCGAAAGGATTCCGTGATCACTCCTGTTTGCGACGACGGCGAGGAGCCGATGTTCGCTCCCAAGCAATTTGGTGAATATTTGCAGGAGCGATACACTGAGACGTATTGATGCGGTGCCGCCGTGCTGTGAATGAATGCGTAATGTTACAAAACTCGAAGTATGTGGAGTGTACAACGAATGTAAAAGAATTATTGTAGAACACACAGCGGCGCGCAGCGTGAGTTCTGCGTCGTAAAAATTGTAATGTAAATGAACCGGCTCGTCATGTCGGTTTTCTCCACGTGGATTTCTTCACATCGCCGCCCAAGCCGTCCGTCGCGAGTTCGGCCGCGATATCGGACACACCGTCGGCGCGGACGTGGTGGCTTGTCTTTGTAGGCTTGACCAAGCGTCCATTGCGTTTTTGATCTACCTGCGCGCGCATCTGCGCGCACACGTCAAAGACACGATACTCCTCGACGCGGCTCCTTCGGCAGGACGACTCCAAAAAGGCGAGCGTAACTGTGCTCACGCGAACACCCGCGTCCTTGAGCTCATCAAACACTTCGAGCGCTTCGTCGATGCGATCTTGGTGGCAACACACTTCGATGAGCGATTCGTACATGGCACGCACCTCGCCGATGTAGTCCTCACCTTCGTTCGAGGTGTGACGTCTCGACTTGACGACGAGCGCGCGCCCGTGAGATTCGCGCCAGACAGCCAACGCGGATTCGAGTTTTTCATTTCGCGCCATGGCGACGATGAGCGCGCATCGAGCCTCGTCATCGATGACATCATCATTCTCATGTTTCATCGCCGCCTCGAACACCGCGATGGCTCGAGCAAGTAAGACCTCTCCGTTTTCGTCGCCTTCGAAGCCGCTCATCGATCCGACGCTCAGGACGACGATGAGAGAAGATCGTGTGTTGACGTCGAGCTTGTACCCGAGACGGGCGAACCGCTTGTAAGAATCCCACGCGATTTCCACAGAGCCGTCGCGACTGCACGCGACGATGAATTCCTTGAACGTGTGCTCACTCGGGACCAGGCCTCGCGAGTCCATCATGGACATGAAGCGATTAGCACGACCGACGTATCCCTCGAGACACAGAGCGCGAATGATGGCCTCGAATGTCTCTTGTTCCAGCATACCTTTTCGGCGAACAATCTTCTTAACCTCTTCGAGCATTTCCTCGATGCGCCCGGCGCGAGATATGACGCGAAGGAAGGTGTTGGAGCACCAGTCGTTCATCTGCACGCCGCTTTCCGTCATGTCGCGCAATATGGCGTAAGCACGCTCGACACCGTCCTCTTCGTCATCGACGTAATAGCACGCCTGCAACGCGCACCCGTACGTCACTGTGGTTCGGCTCACGTCGGCCTCACGCATGCGCTCATACGTGTCGAATGCTGCGAACGGACGATTCGCTTTCACCTGCGCGTCCATGAGAGACGTGAACAAAAACTCATTCGGTTCGACGCCATCCTCGATGGCGACATCGAACAGTCTCTCCGCTTCCTCCACTTGACTACCCCTCTTGGACCGACTGAGAGAGACGATCAGACTCACGTACGTTCGAAGCGACGGTGGAACGCCGTTCGCGAGCATGTCTCGGTACAGCTCCATCGCCTTGCCGTCTTCTCCGTTGGAGGCGCACGCGTGGATGAGCGTGTTGAAGGTGATGGTATCCGGGAGCTGACTCTCCAGCGCGCGACGCGCTCGAGCGTTCGTCTCACGACGACAAGACTGAACGTCCGACTTGAACTTGGCGTACAGCGCGAAAGCACTCTTGAAGTCGCCAAAGTGCAGGTGCGTCGAGATCAGGGCGTTTCGCACGCCCGTTGACTCTCGAACGCCCGTTGGGCTCTGAGAAATGATGCGCTGCATCTTCCCGAAATGTTCGTCACCCTCCTTCGAAGCCTCCAGCGCTGACGTCATGGCGTACATCAAGTACCTATCCGACTCCGCATTTGACGCTCCACCGCGGGCGTTCATGATTTTCAAAACTTCGATCGCGCGTCCCGGTTGTCCGCATCGAGCGCAGAGTGTGATGAGTGCGCACCACACTCGAGCGTTTGGAGACGCCTTTGCGCGACGATCGTCCGAAGCGGCATCTTCGCTGAGTAAACGTACGATCGCCTCCGCGCGCTCGAGCGCAGTCTTCTTATCGATCTGCTTTCTAACAACCCCCCGTGCGTAGGCAGAGATGAGTGAAGAAACCATGTGATCGTTACCAGCGCGTCCGCACGCGCCAGATTGAAGCGCGTCGGCGAACAACTCTTCGGACCACGCAACGTCCACGTCGTCCGTCGCCGCGCCCGCCGCGAGCATGGCGCCGTACGTGATGATCGTCGGCGCTAATTTCGCGAGCTGAAGCTCCTCCCAAGCCGCCAGTGCCCCTGAGAAATGTTTCCTCCGCGTCGACGCGGAGATAACGCCGTTGTACGATCGAATGTTTGGCTTGACGTTGGCGGTGGTTTTCATGCGCTCGAGCGTCGCGCGCGCGCCTTCGTAGTCACCCCTACTCGCACACGCGTCTATGAACGCGTTGTACACCACGGTATCCACCGCGTGCGCAGCGTTCGCTTCCTCGAATGCCTCCCTAGCCGCGACGTAGTTCCCGCACTTCGCCGCGCTACTCACCAGGGCGCTGTACGCGAACGGATCCGGAGCTAAGCCAGCCTCGGTGCGTCGCAGATCGAAAGCCTCCCTGGCGACCGCCCAATCCTTCGCCCGTCCGCACGCGTTGATCACGGCGCAAAACAAATCCGGTTCCCCGTCGGACGCAGCTTTATCGGCGTCGAAGAGCCTCGCGTACCGCAGCGCCACGTCCATCCTTCGTTGCCTCGCGCACGCGTCCACGAACCCTTTATGCCCACTCGCGAGCGTCGACGCCAACCTCGGTCCGACGATCGCTCTCGGTCTCCCAGCGCTCTCCCGCTCCCTCGCGCACGCCGCGAGCGCCCGAACCGCGCGCTCCAAATCTCCCGCGCGCGTCGCCTCCGCGTGCGCCCCGCGCGCCGCCGCCTCCGCGTCCGCGTCATCCACCCCCCCAATCGTCCACGCCGACCCCTCGTCGACCGCACGCGCGTCATCATCCATCCCCACCGTCCGTCGCGCCGCCTCCGCGTCCATTCGCCGCGTCCGCATCGCCCGCGCCGACCGCTTCGCCGCCGCCGCCGCCGCCGTCCGAATCCCCGTCCCGTCCCCCGCCCTCACCCCCGCCCCCCCCTCGTCCTCGCTCGGTCGCCACGCGCGTTCACGCGCCGTCTCACCGTCGCGTTCCGGCACGATGGCGCGTCGCGCGCGTCCTCGTCGCCTCCATCGCGCGTGATTCCCCAGCCGCCGCGCGCGTGGACGTGCGATCGTCCACGCGCCGTCCGTCGCGCCGTCCATCGCGCTCGACGCGACGCGGGACATGAAGACGCGGGACGTGAAGACGCGGACGCGCGCGCGCCGCGCGGGGGCGACGCGGTGCGCCGTCGACGTCGACGCGTCGACGCGGGGTGGCGTCGACGCGACGGCTGGTCACACACCCGGGGGCGCTGACGAGCGTGTCACACACACCCGGGGGCGCTGACGGGCGTGTCACACACACCCGGGGGCGCTGATGAGCGTGTCACACACACCCGGGTGTGTGAACGGCATTCGCGTTCCATCGCAATCGATTCGCCCCCGACGCCGCCGCGGGTCCACGACCCGGCGTCACGCGCGCGGGCGTCGCGCG